GCTGGTCTATGTGGACATATATGTTATGTCCGAACACAAATATATCATATCATCTAAAAGTTTGTTGGCAAACAGGTGGCCCCAAACCAGACAAAGGATTGCTGGATTCCCAGATAGGGGGCAATTTCCCCATACATTATGGGGCAAATACATTCTGGATTCTGGAAATTTAATATCCACAATGTACATTCTGTCAACTTTGGATTCTTGTTGAAATATCCAAACCACAATGTACATTCCCAGTTCATTGCGCGAAAAGAGTCACACACACACACACCCTTCATGGCTAAACAACAGAAGCATCAGGTTTGTCAGCACGGATGCAGTTTGATACCCGGTCCAACTGGGTAAATGTTCAAACCCCAGCCAAGATGTTTTTTTAAATGTGGGTAAAACAATGCCATAAAACATCCCCCAGTCATCACCATAAATAGGTTGTATGAGTACCATTCCGAGTCATGGGTGGTAAAAATGACATTGTTTTGCCCACATGATTCATTAATAACTATATCATATCCGATTCATATACCATTGATATTTATTAACCACTAGTATAGCATTCATGTCAGGAAACCCATATTAATTCCGTTCTATTCATCGATATTCTGATAAGATGAATACCACCTCCCTAGAGATAGTAAAAAGATCCCAGTTCCATCACGTTGTGTTTTCCGTAACCGCGAATTGGGGCAGTTTTTGTTTGTCCCCTTCTGGCGAAAAGGGAATCTACTTCTTAGAAAAAGACAGATAACCATGATTTATGGACTAACCATTCACACACTTAGTACGAGGGTCCGCACATCATCCAAGCAACCTGGTATCCAACCTGGTCCCCAATCTGGTTTAACCTGACAAAACCTCCACTTATATGGCCTTTTTGTCCTTAACATGTTCATACATTTTCCACATATGAGAATCTTCCAGCCAACCCGCTTTAATTACCAAGCAGCGTTTCCTGGTTTTGAACCATTACCATATATGCCGTACATTGCGGTGATATCTGGATATCTCTGGCAATAGTCCATGCAGTTTGCTGTATATTAATGTATGAAGTCTACAATATACCATATTATATACCATATTATATACCATATTATATACCAAAAACATATACAGTACCAGGTACCATAATATATAATAATATATAATATAATACACTTATACCATTATCATTTCTATATGCCATATCCGCCGACCCCGGCCTTCGCCACGGCCGGGGCGGCGCTTGGGACCACCGGAGGTGTGGATCCTGTCTTTCTTGAACCCTTGCCACGCCCAACGCTGCAGGCAAAAGCCACCACAAGGCCACAGCAATGGCTCAAGAGCACCCCACGGCCGCAGCAATGGCTTCTTTTCTAGGCGTTCAAGGCTGCCGTTTGCCAGGCCTCAAACCCTCCAAACCTTCCAACTCCTCCAAAAGTTTGCCCAACTCCGCAGGGAAACGGTACCCCAACAAGCCCAACACGCGCCACGCCCGCAGGCAAAAGCCACCACAAGGCCACAGCAATGGCTCAAGGGCACCCCACGGTCGCAGCAATGGCTGCTTATAGGCATTTAAGGCTGCCACCACAAGGCCACAGCAATGGCTGAAGGGCATAGGCGTTCAAGGCCACAGCAATGGCTCAAGGGCACCCCACGGTCGCAGCAATGGCTGCTTATAGGCATTTCAGGCTGCCGTTTGCCAGGCCTCAAACGCTCCAAACCCTCCAAATCATCCACAAGTCTGCCCACCTCCGCAGGCAAAAGGTACCCCAACAATCCCAACACGCGCAACTCCCGCACGCACAAGCCACCACAAGGCCACAGCAATGGCTGAAGGGCACCCCCCGGCCGCAGCAATGGCTTCTTATAGGCGTTCAAGGCTGCCGTTTGCCAGGCCTCAAACCCTCCAAACACTCCAAAACATTCCACAAGTCCGCCCAGCTCCGCAGGGAAAAGGTACCCCAACAAGCCCAACACGCGCCACTCCCGCACGCAAAAGCCACCACAAGGCCACAGCAATGGCTGAAGGGCACCCCCCGGCCGCAGCAATGGCTTCTTATAGGCGTTCAAGGCTGCCGTTTGCCAGGCCTCAAACCCTAAAACATTCCAAAAGTCCGCCCAGCTCCGCAGGGACAAGGTACACCAACAAGCCCAACACGCGCCACTCCGGCACGCAAAAGCCACCACAAGGCCACAGCAATGGCTGAAGGGCACCCCCCGGCCGCAGCAATGGCTATAAGGGTTTCTTATAGGCGTTCAAGGCCACAGCAATGGCTCAAGGGCACCCCACGGTTGCAGCAATGGCTGCTTATAGGCATTTAAGGCTGCCGTTTGCCAGGCCTCAAACGCTCCAAACCCTCCAAACCCTCCAAACGTCCGCCCAGCTCCGCAGGGAAAAGGTACCCCAACTATCCCAACACGCGCCACTCCCGCACGCACAAGCCACCACAAGGCCACAGCAATGGCTGAAGGGCACCCCCCGGCCGCAGCAATGGCTTCTTATAGGCGTTCAAGGCTGCCGTTTGCCAGGCCTCAAACCCTCCAAACGCTCCAAAAGATTCCAAACGTCCGCCCAGCTCCGCAGGGAACAGGTACACCAACAAGCCCAACACGCGCCGCTCCCGCACGCAAAAGCCACCACAAGGCCACAGCAATGGCTGAAGGGCACCCCCCGGCGGCAGCAATGGCTTCTTATAGGCCTTCAAGGCTGCCGTTTGCCAGGCCTCAAACCCTCCAAACACACCCCACGGTCGCAGCAAATGGCTGCTTATAGGCATTTAAGGCTGCCACCACAAGGCCACAGCAATGGCTGAAGGGCACCCCCCGGCCGCAGCAATGGCTATAAGGGCCTCTTATAGGCGTTCAAGGCCACAGCAATGGTTCAAGGGCACCCCACGGTCGCAGCAATGGCTGCTTATAGGCATTTCAGGCTGCCGTTTGCCAGGCCTCAAACGCTCCAAATCCTCCACAAGTCTGCCCACCTCCGCAGGCAAAAGGTACCCCAACAATCCCAACACGCGCCACTCCCGCACACACAAGCCACCACAAGGCCACAGCAATGGCTGAAGGGCACCCCCCGGCCGCAGCAATGGCTTCTTATAGGCGTTCAAGGCTGCCGTTTGCCAGGCCTCAAACCCTCCAAACGCTCCAAAACATTCCACAAGTCCGCCCAGCTCCGCAGGGAAAAGGTACCCCAACAAGCCCAACACGCGCCACTCCCGCACGCAAAAGCCACCACAAGGCCACAGCAATGGCTGAAGGGCACCCCCCGGCCGCGGCAATGGCTTCTTATAGGCGTTCAAGGCTGCCGTTTGCCAGGCCTCAAACCCTCCAAACGCTCCAAAAGTCCGCCCAGCTCCGCAGGGAAAAGGTACCCCAACAAGCCCAACACGCGCCACTCCCGCACGCAAAAGCCACCACAAGGCCACAGCAATGGCTGAAGGACACCCCCCGGCCGCAGCAATGGCTATAAGGGCCTCTTATAGGCGTTCAAGGCTGCCACGCCCGCACACAAGAGACACCACAAAGCCACAGCAGCAATGGCTCAAGGGCACCCCCCGGCCGCAGCAATGGCTTCTTATAGGCGTTCAAGGCTGCCGTTTGCCAGGCCTCAAACGCTCCAAACCCTCCAAAAGTCCGCCCAGCTCCGCAGGGAAAAGGTACCCCAACAAGCCCAACACGCGCCGCTCCCGCACGCAAAAGCCACCACAAGGCCACAGCAATGGCTGAAGGGCACCCCCCGGCCGCAGCAATGGCTTCTTATAGGCGTTCAAGGCTGCCGTTTGCCAGGCCTCAAACCCTCCAAACGCTCCAAAAGATTCCAACCCTGAGTCTGCTTTTTTAGTAAATTTAGTAGTCGATGAATTTACGTAATTTTTTGGATTTACTAGCTAAAATTTACTCAAAATTTTAGTTTAAAAGTAAAGTAAATTAATTTAGTTTCCAAAGTAAATTTATTTAGTTTGGAAAGTAAATGGATTTAGTTTGTAAAGTAAATTTTTGACCACCCAAAAAAGACAATAAATTTTGATGTTTTTTAAATTCTATTTCATGGTTACTTGTGACTTGTGGACATGTGACCATGAAATTTTCATGAATGATATGTGTTTCATGTGGTGCATGTGTTACATTCTTTGCATGTAGATGGATGCAGTTGGCCACTTACTTGAGGCACTGTTTGCCACAGTTTTTGTTGTAGTTATTTGGGGTGCTCAAGATTTTCTCTGTCTCTTCATCAGCAATCCCTGTGTGGATCCTGGACCTCCTCCTAAGAAATATGAAGGGGAATCATGGAGCTGTGGACTGGGGAGAAGAGTAACTGCCACTTTTTATGGCCTTTGCTACAAAGACAGTCAGCCCAGGGAGTTTCAGTTTTCTTGTCTGTGATTGGTTCACTGCATGTTTGTAGTTGACACATGTGATATATCTGATATATTTATATATGAATATAAATAAATAAATAAATGTATATATATATGTATAGATCAATAAGTTATCATTCACCAAATGCTACCCACAGGTTGCTCATTGAGTTTCTGAGTGCCTTCTGCTGCACAACCCTGAGAAGAGGATGTACATGATGGTGTATCCATCCAGATCTTGGCACTCACAGAAGGCTGAGAAGTAAATTTTGAGAACTGTGATCAGCTGGGGGTCAAAAACATGTTCAACTTGTGATGATTTGTGCCAACAGGAGGTCCATTTACCAAACATTTTTGGCAAGTTACTTGAGGTCCTCATGTAAAAACTTACTTGTGTGAATGTTTGAAGGTACTTTGAGAACCAACTTTGGGCAGTACTTGAGAACATGTGAAACCTTTACCACATGAACCAAGTATATCAATGTTTGGAATTTGAATCAATTATATCAAGTATGTCTTGTGAATATGCACTTGAGACTGTTGAAGCATGAGAGTTACATGTGACACATGTTTGAGTTTTGATCACATTTATCTATACTGTTGTTTTCAAAACCATCTCAAGGATTGTTTTGGATAGTTTTGCACTCGTGACCCAGCATGGCTAGCCTGGAAGCTGCTTTTGATGAGAGGAAGGTTCAGCTGAGTGCTGAGAATTCCAGGAGGCAGCAAGCGAAGTTTAGGCTGGTTTCTGACCCCTACATCTCTGTGCAAGCCATCCAAGATGTCTTGGAAGGATATGTCAAGCACAGAAAGTGCAACGACTTGGCTATGTTGTTGGCACCTCCCCCTGCCATACAGAATCCAAGTTGGCAATCTCCACCTTCCCCAGACTGGATGGCCAAATGCCTTGGCCTTGTCTTCGATGTGCTGTCCATTGCACCCAATACAAAGTTGGCCCACACCAAGGTGAGACGTGCGATAGTGAACATGTGGGTGGCTAGAACCATTCAGCTTGATCCCAACTTGGCAAGCCTGATGACCAGTTCGACAACATGGACCTCAACTTGAGGATGGTCATGAACCAGTTTCGAGAGGTGAAGGTGAAAGCAGATCTCAAGCAAAAGGTCCTACGAGTTTTGTCAGCAGAGGATGGCATCAAAGTCCAAATGGTTTTGGATAAGATCATTCTTCCCAAGGAGTGCTACAAGTATGAGGTCATGGAGGATGACTCCCAAGAAGCGCCTGGGTACAATCGACCTGAGGAGTGTTTGGCCATAGTCCCATTTGAGGAGGCAAAGGCTGCAGCACCATCATATCCATTGGATATGAAGGATGTCCCAGGGCCCAAGCCAGCCTTGAAGCGATCTTATGCTTTTTCCGAGGAATCTTTGGCAAAGCTGGGTCCTACCCCTGAGATCTTTGGGAAGATCTTGGCAAGGGAACCTGGCAACCCAGATGTTGCACCCAAGAGATCTCAGGCTACTGGAGCATCCAGTACAGATGATGCTTTGCTCTCTGCTGCTGCGAGTTTTGTGCCTACCCAGCTGGCTGGAAAGGCTAAAGCAAAGGCCAAGGGTGCAGCTAAAACTGTCCCAAAAGGCACTGCCAAGAAAGGCAAAAAGAACAAGAAGATTGAAGGCAAGACCACAGCTGCTGCCAAGAGCAAAGCTGGCAAGGCTAAATCCATAGCCAAACCCAGCCAGCCAAATGATCCAGCTTCAGCTGGGACTGAAGAGATCGAGTTGGACATTCCGAAGTATGTGGTCGAAGTCCATCCCACTAAGGCAGACACATACAAGAACTTGTATGTCAGTCGCCATTACAACAAGGCCAAGGAGCTTGCCATCAAGCATGGGGCCAGCTCAGAGCAGGCCAAGGCCAGGGGTCGAGTGGCCAGTGCTGAGGCCAGGAAGCTTTGGGATGATTATCATCCAAACTGAAGGCTCATTGTAGAATCATTCTTTCAACATCTAGGGGTAGTGATGGATGTTGATCAAAGCTGAGCACATGCTGATGTGTCAAAAATCCAGTTTTCACTTTTGCTTTTACTTGTGCATGTTGAATCATTACCTGAGGTGTCAACAATCCACTTTTCACTTTGATTTTAATTGTGCATGCTGAATCATCACCTGAGGTGTCAACAATCCAGTTTTCACTCTGTTTTTACTTGTGCATGTTGAATCCTTACCTGAGGTGTCAACAATCCAGTTCTCACTTTTGTTTTTACTTGTGCATGTTGAATCATATGTGTTTCATCAACAATACAGTTTTCACTTTTGTTTTTACTTGTGCATGTTGAATCATTACCTGAGGTGTCAGCAATCCAGTTTTCACTTTTGTTTTTACTTGTGCATGTTGAATCATTACCTGAGGTGGGGTTTGAGCTTTACTTGTGTGACCCCATGCCCTCTAGAGCTGGTTACCTCTTGGTTACTTGTGGCATGTGGAATCCAAAAGGAGCTGTGACCTGTGCATTTAAGATTTTAAGGTCTCTGACATGTGTGCATTTGTTTTGGCATGTAGTTTGAATGTCACTTGTGGTCAACACTTCTAGGACCCACTGTCCATGACATCCTGGTCACAGAGTTTTTTACTGCTAGCTGTATTCGACAGCTCGATTTGAAGGTGAACACATGGTTACATGGTTGGCAAGATGGTTCATCAACAAAAACTCATAGCATCCAAGATGCATTGATATGAAAACATTTTACAGTACAGTCATGTTTAGTTTTGAAAGATCATCTCCATGGAAAGTATATTTGACATATCAACTTTCTCACCTTAGGTTCTCGCAGCCCCTGCCAATGGATCGCTTGTTTCCATACACTGGAAGGAGGATCTATTTGAGGAATGTCAGATATGGTGTGACAAAGGATTGCTTGAGGGCATTGATACTTCGTCTTGGAGTTGTCTCCTGCAGTGGCATTCAGCTGGTGAGGAAGGACACATGGTGGATCCCTGAACATTGCAGTGCATACCTGTACATCGAAGATGTTTCTGGGCTTTCTTCAGGATTTATTTTTGGAGGGAATGGCTTACTAAGCATGTCTTACTTGTTCTGGTGCACTCACTGTCTAAGGCTGCAGATTTCAACTTCATTTTGGGAGCACTGGATGGCTTATTCGATCCACAGGTCTGCAGTGGGAGACTGGGGTTAGTTTAGCATGTTTTCATGTGGTTCTTTTTGTGTCTTTTTCAGCTGAATCTCTCATTTGAAAACCAAGTCTCAAGTAATTTCACAAGTAACACTCAGAATTGATGGGGACAAGTAATACTCACAAGTAAGATGCATCAGTAAATTTAGTTCAATCTCTTGTCCACATATTGCTTGTTTCACCATGCCCAGGAGAAGGGCTCTTCAAGCAGAACCTGCTCGACCTCCTCGGCCTTTGACCAATGATGGTGAGGCTTGGTTTCCTGACACAGGATCATCAACAGCTTCTGCAGCAGCTGTGCCAGCACCTGGAGTTCCAGAGCCTTTGCTTCCACCTCGAACCCGAAGACCTGCAAATGATGTCCCTGAACCACCTCCAGCTCCTGTGCCAGCAAGTCCATCAAGGCCACCAGGGCCACCAGGGCCACCTACAGCTCTGCCACCAGGGCCACCAGGGCCACCAGGGCCACCTACAGGTGCCAGATCCAAAGCTGCTCATGGACCTCCTGCTACATTGCTGACCGCTCAGGCAAGTGATCCCTCAGCTTTGTCCAATGCTCTGCACAGTTGGCAGCTTCATGGCACACCACTAGACAGTCAGAGGACTTTTAGCAGTGAAGGTGAACTCACTGTCGCCTTGCTTCAGGCTGTTGCTGAACATGCAGCTTTAGCATCAACTGCAAGTTCTTCAACAAAGGAAAACGAAGTACCTTGACTATATCTTGTAAAACAATATGCATGCATTCATATGTTTATGTACATATATATATATGAACAATTACATTGTCAGATACATGTCATCACAAGTAAAAACATGTTCACAAGTAGAAGCACCCGGTTTACAATGTCAAACCTTTCTCAAGTAAGATTCAAAGGCATTTTTCATGATCATCTCAATATGTTTCATTTGAAATCAAGTTTACTTGAGGTTGGTTACTTGAGATTTACATGTGACCCCCAGGTTGCAATGCCAACCACAGCTCCTGAAGCCTCTCTGAAGAAGAAGAATGTGGAGGACAAGGAGGAGGGCCAGGAGACTGCAGATGACAAGACAGAGGATACATCAGAAGATGATCGGCTGCTTCAGCAAAAGCTCTCTGAGAATTTCGAGGCCCAGGATCCCTACATGATTATGGATGGGGATGAGGACCAGCCGATGATGGAAGATGTGAAAGAAGAGAGACAAGATGAAGGAGAAGAGGAGGAGGAAGAAGCTCAGGAGCCAGATTTCACTCTGGAGGAATACTTGGAAGGTTCCAAGGAGGAGGCAGATCTAGACCAGGCAGATCAGACACAGAATGCAAACATGGAAGCAGCTCAGGAGGCAGACAATGTCCTCCTCAAGGAGGAGGAAGACTTGGATCATGAGCCAGATGATCCACCGAGAATTTCAATAGGAGGAGGGTCGAGAAGATCTCCAAGAAGCAGGAGCAGGAAAAGAAGGAGAAGAAGATCCAAGACTCCAAGTCCAACCCCATCTCCAGACTTTACAGAGTTTCCAGGATATCACTTCATTTTTTTTGGGGGGGTTAATGTTTGAATTGCAATGACAACATCTGTTAGTGAGTGTTTTCCTGTTCATCATTGTAGTGTTGTACCTGCTCTATCTAAGCCATTCAGGTTGATGAAGTGGGCTTACCTCAAGGAGAAGGACAGCAAGCGACGTCGACATGGATCCAGACGAGGTGCTATTGTTTCACCTTTGGAATCAATAGAAGTCTGAAATTGCAGTCAAAGCTTTGTTGGATGATGGAAAAAGGTGAATTGGTTCAAGCATCACTTGAGAATGTAAAGCAATGACTTTAGTGACAAACATTTTTTACTTGTACTGGTCACTTGTTTGCTTTTAAGTGCGCTAGAGCTTTTACTTGTGGCATTACATGAGACTAGTGCTGATGATACTTGGGAAAATGATGACATGAAGTCAACTTACATGCATCAAATTCTGATCTCCAATCAATCATTTGGTCTTCAAATCTTCATATTTTTAATGAAAAAATATAAAAATTCAACAAAAACATGATGCAGTTTTGATGGAGTTTTGATGCAGTTTTGAAACTGCATCAAAACTGCATCACTTTCCATATAAAACTGCATCAAAACTGCATCAAAACTGCATCAGCAATTCATCAGAAATTCAGGAAACAATCTTCAGAATTTGACATAATGTTCAGTGATTTTCTTCCAGAGTTTGAGAAACATGTCATGATGATGCATTCAGCACAGCCTCTGACAGTGATTACTTGATATTTGTTTGTGAACAGTTACTATTTGCCACATGTAACACATGTCTGTGACATGGACCTCATGTAATCTCATTATCCTCATGATGTGCATCCTTTGTCACATTCACTCTTTTGCTTGATCAACATCCTAGCTGTGTCAGTAAACTTTACCTGAGACAACCTGTTCAGTTCATGTTGTCATGACTAATGTAATGAATCCAACATACTTCTTGAATTACTTGAGGTCAAAATACTTGAGTTACTTGAGAGGTGCTTGTGGTTTCAATTTGAACTGTTCAATTTGTTTTCAATTGTGAAACATGAGGATTGGCTCAGACAAATCACTTGTGCCTCAGTTAAGAGTAGCTGTTCACTGTGGCAGCTGAGATGGCACCTGATGCTGTTGAGACTCATGAGGAAGCCAAGCCCTCTGCAGGAGGCCAGGCTGCTCCCTCTACTCCCATCGAGGGGTTTGAACAGAAGAGTCCTAGTAAAGGGCCTACTCTGAAGAGGCCAGCTGCAGCTTCACCTGGCAAAACCCCGATGAAGGCAGCCTTGGCCAAGAACAAGGCAAAGGCTAAGGCAACTGCCAAGGCCAAGGCTTCCAGTGCTAAGTGTAAGGCCAAGGCCAAGCCTAAGGCCAAGAGCTCAGCAGCAATGAAGCGCCCTGCTGCCAAGGAGGAGGAGAGTCAGCAAGGGAAGAAGGGTTCTTGGGCTGCTCCCTTGGTCCAGGTGGAACCGGAGAAGGAAGAGCAAGAAGGAGAAGAGGAGGAACATGTCACTCAGGATGAGGCAGTGGAGCCTTCCAGTGCTTTTGCACTTCCTGACAAGGGAGACTTGGATGATGATGAGAACACGAAGAACAGGTCGAAAAATGCAAAGTTTTTGAAAATGTTGAAGGACTCAAGTTTGCCAGACTGGTTGGTCCAGGAATGGGAGAAAGCCAGCAAGCTGACCTCAGGAAAGAGAGAGAAACAGCGAGAGATAGTGAATAACTGTCTCGATCATCAAGGTGGTCGCCTTGTCCTCAATGTCGACAAGCCCATGTTCCAGCAGATGTCTGCCTCCTACAAGCAGACTTTGACTCGAGATAAAGAGAAGTCCCTCCCTCGCCGACTTTTGCAGGGGAAGTTCAACTTGACAGATGAAGCCTTTGAAGAAGCACTGCAGGAAGGTGATGTGGTGGAGGTGAAGATGAAAGGTGGAAAGACCGGGTACATGTTCCAGAGCATGGAGCATGAAACTGAGCGAGGCAAGCGCGCAGAGTCATCTGTGGTGGAGCAGGTTGAAGGCAACAAGAAGAAGAAGCTCTTCTTTGAGGAGGGGGTCAAGAACTGGGCCATTGGACTGTTTGAGAAGTCCAAGGACAAGGCCATTGGAGAGAAGAGGCCAGGCCTGCTGGCCTTGAAAGATCGTCAGGCCCCTTTGAGTGAGGCTCAGTGGCAGCAGGCCCAGTCCCAACTAAAGCCAGCCCAAGATGCATTTGAGAAATGCAACAGTGCTGGCTTGAAGTTCTTGCAGACCATTGGCCCCGACAACAAGCTGGATCCCTTGTACCCGA